TAGGTTTGATCCCCAGCCTGTCAGGGCTGGTGGGGGAGGCAACGAATCTATGTATCTCTCTCACATCGATGTTTCTCTCTTTCTCTCTCTCTCTCCCCTTCTACTCTAAAAATCAGTGGAAAAAAACACCCCTGGGTGAGGATTAACAAAAAACAAAAAAAAGTAATGTCAAATTTAAGGATGGTGGCATGATGAGGACTGAAATTTGACTATAATATCACAGTAGTAAATTTAAGAACAGGAATGGATAGGGAGAGAGAGATAGAAACATCAATGATGAGAGAGAATCATTGATCGGCTGCCTCCCCCTACTGGAGATCGACCCTGAAACCTGGGCATGTGCCCTGACTGGGAATTGAACCATGATCTCCTGATTCATAGGTCGATGCTCAAACACTGAGCCACACCAGCTGGGCAAAACCTTCATTTCATATATCATGTAGTCATAGAATCTGATCAGAGCCAAGAGAGACTAGGAGGAGCTCAAGGCACCTTGATCTGTATTTCTTTTCTTCTACCTAAGTTGCTAGAAAAAATGTCCAGGAACTATACTAGCTAAAATAAATAAATAAAAATAAATAAATAAATAACAAAAACAGTTGTTTTTGTTAAATTTATATAGAAGTTCTTTTCTTAGAAACATTTTACAATCATTAGTTCACATAGTAATAACCTTGTGACCCAGGGCAGAATAATCATATTTCCATTTTATCTTGTGGAGAAACAGACATAACTTACATAAATCTAGATACCTCATTAGAGATGGCTAGAGCAGGATGGCAAACTATAGTCCACTATCTGCTTGCTGCCTGTTTTTGTAACTAAAGTTTTACTGGAACATAGCAATGCTCACTTATTTACATATTGTTAAGTGCTGCTTTCACACTAAAATAGCATGGTTGACTAGTTCCAACAGAGACCCCTGGCCCACAAAGCCTAAAAGTATTTACTATTTGGCCTTTTTTTTTTTTTAACTATTTGGTCTCATAAGAAAAAGTTTGCCCACCCCCAGTAAAGAATTAAAACTAAGTGTGTTGACTATTTATTATACCACTTATCCTAATGTTTGTTTTAGGAATAGGAAATTTGATCTAAGAAACATGATGTTGTCAAGAGAATACAGAATTATAAGAGGCAAAAACAAAGCAAAGCAAGAAAAAGGGAATATTTTCCTGGTTGTGCCATTTACTGTGTGACACTTGGAAAGTCACTTCACCACTCTGGATCTCAGTTTCTACACTTGAGAAATTAAAGAATTTGGGCTATACAAATACTAATCATCTTCCAATTAAAATATTATGGTCTGTACCAGCAATTTTCAACCCTCTTCCTTTTCATCTCATGGTACACATAAACTAATTACTAAAATTCTGTAGCACACCAAAAAATATTTATTTTTGCCGATCTGATAAAAAAAATAGCTAAAATTCTGATTCATTCACATTGGACGGCTATTGTTGTGTTGGCTGTTGTTATTTATTTATTTTTTGACAATCTAAGGGCAAAGAGGTCAGTGCCCCTGACTACATAGGTATATGCATGTTTTAAAAATTCTTGTGGCACACTGGTTGAATATCGGTAGTCTTTACAACTTAGTTTAGAGATAAGGAAGCAACAGTGAAGGCATAAAGATTCTTAAATTGTTGTATTTTATTTTGTATTTCTCCATGTGGATGAAAAAGCAGTAAGGCACCTTAAATCTCTTTATCATCATAATAATCTTAAAAGTAAGTAATATCCCGATTTTATATCCCTCTGGAAACTGAGGCTCCAGAATGGACAGTGTCTCTTGCAAAAGGTTATCAGCATGTGCTAAATGTTTTATTGTCTAGTATACAAAATCAAGCACTATAATTATAAGGTATACAGAGTAAGGCAGATAATGTAAATGCTGTATGGTTCTGTGGTAAACCAGAGATCACATGTCCTATTTAAAGGGAGCAGTTTCCCGACCGGCATGGCTCAGTGGTTGAGCTTCGACCTATGAACCAAGAGCTCATGTTTCGGTTCGATTCCCAGTCAGGGCAGGTTTTGGGCTGAATTCCCATTGTGGGGTGTGCAGGAGGCAACCAATCAATGATTCTCTCTCATCATTGATGTTTCTGTTTCTCTCTCCCTCTCCCTTCCACTCTGAAATCAATAAAAATATATTTTTTTAAAAATGAAAAAAAAATGGAGCAGCTGCCACTCATCTAGGGTCAATTGTTGAAATACAGTCATGTGGTTCCAATACCGTCAGATCTTTAGATTTTACAAGATAGTTTGTCTTTGATGTCTCAAATTTTATTTTAAATATTCCAATTTTTAAATGCTGGCAAGGCAATTGATTCAAATGTTTAAAAAAATAGAGTTGGCTAAATTTGGTCCACAGGATGACAGTTTGCAAATATAAACTTTTTTTTTGAAATTGTGAATTCTTTATGAACCAAAGTAATGTGGAATAGGAAGAAATCACAGCATCAATATCAATCTCATTTTCTATCAAATAATTATCAGAAGTGCTCGTAGTAAAATCACATAATTAAAGAAATTGCTTCTCTTTATTTCAGGTCCTGTGGTGAAGGTGTAAATAAATATACAGGCAGAGTCAACAGTTCACCAGAAAAAAAGATAGTGGATAATATTTAAACAAAAAAAAATCTGTTCTTAAGTAATTGAAATTGAATATATTTGTGTGATGAAAAATACAAATATAATAAATGCACATTGAAGCTTTAAAAATAATGGGGATAGATAGGAGCTATTGATTTGTAACTTTTAGAAGATATGACAATTTGGGAAATAAATGTATGCTGTCATTTTTTAACTTATAGAAAGCCATTTGAAAATACTGTACATGCTTTGACAATAAACAAAGCTCTATTTTTTTCTCTTTTTTTTTATTGCTTAAAGTATTACAAAGAGTCTTACATATGTCTCCTTTTTTTTTCCCCCCGCCCTTGACAATCCCCTGGCCTCCCCTACCCCCCAGTGTCTTATGTCCATTGGTTATGCTTATATGCATGCAT